CAAGCTTGGCAGGGGGCTTTCAGATCTCTCTGGTGCCAGGAGAGGGGCTCTGCCCCGGCACATCTCCAGAGGGCGGTCACGGTGCCACAGCACCCGAAGGCTGTCACTCGTGGGGACCCCAGCGACAGCCATGGGTTGGGTGGGTGGCTGCGGGCTCTGCTGCAGCCCGGGATGGGGAGTGGGGACGCCGGGAAGGGGTCACCCCTGCAAGCTGGCAGTGCGCAGCAGAGCCAGTGGCTCTCAGGCAGGAGTTTATTGAGGACGTGGGGCAGGTGGGAGCAGCGGCACAGGACCCGCTGCCAGGAGGCCGGGTCGGTGTCTCACCAGGGCACGACCTTCCCTTCCCAGTCCAGGAAGGTGCCAGTGTCCTTCTCAGAGAGGGAGGAGAGCACCTTCAGCATCCCTCCCACGCTGGCGTCCACCGTCACGGGGGGCTGCGGGCAGAGGGGGAGAGGCAGCTTGAACCCAAGGTCTGGCTAAGGGCTGCCCTGGAGCAGCCAGGACCAGGGGAAGGAGCTGCTCGAGGGCAAGGGGAAAGCCACCAGCTCCGGGCAGAGGGGCCGAGCAGGGAGCTGAGGGGACGGGGGCACCAGGCACCCAGGGCCAGGGCAGGGGGAGCTGCCCAGGCAGGGATGGGGCAGGCAGGGAGGTCGTGGTCAGGGCTCAGGGCAGCAGCTCCCTCCCGTGGAAGATCAGCACAGGGGCTCTGAGGGACCCACCATGATGAAACTCCTACCGTGTGTCCGGCGGAGGCTCCCATGTCGGTTTGCACCCAGCCAGGGTGGAGAGCAACGCAGAGGACGCCGTGCTGCCGGTAGCCCAGGGACTGGCACTTGGTCAGCATGTTCAGAGCAGCCTGTGAGGAGACAGGGCAGGGACGGCGGTGGGAGGGGAAGGGTGGCTGCAAGAGGACATGTGCAGACCCCACAGATGGGGAAGGGCAGGGGAAGAAAATCTGTCCCCAGCAAGGCGCGGCAGTACCTTGCTGCAGCGGTACGAGATGACTTGCAACTGATCCCAACCAAAGGAAGAAGTGATGGATCCCCCATGGCTGGACATGTTAATGATGGCTGCCTTGCTGCAGCTCAGCACTGAGCCCTGGCTCCCCTGGGCAGCCTTCTTCAGCAAGGGCAGGAACGCCTGTGAGGAGAAAGACAACACAGGGGCACACATGGAAATGGCACAGCAGGGAGGACCAGCTCCTTCCACCATGGGCAACACTGACACCAGCACTAGAGCATCCTCCCTCCTCTTCCCACTGCCTCAGCACACCAGGCTCCAGCTCCTGAGCTCAGCCTGTGGCTCCACAAGTTTCTCATTGAGCGAGACTCCATCAGGCACCAGAGCGGAGCCAGGACGCCCTCACACCAGCCCTTCATGCCTCCCTGGAACAGCCAAGCTCAGGTGAGGGTCTCACCTGGCCCAACAGCAGGGGCCCAACCGTGTTGGTGGTGTAAACCTGGGTCATGTCCTCCAGTGTCTCAGTATCAAGTGAGTTCAACTTGACAATTCCGGCGTTGTTGATAAGGAGGTTCAGTCCTGAGTCCCCCAGGTGCTCCCCAACTCTGGCTGCAGCTGCCTTGATGCTGGAGGGGTCAGAGACTTCTGCAGAGCCAACACAGGGCAGGTCAGTGTCCCTGCGGTGTCTTGCGGTCCTCTGCCCCCCCCCCCCCCCCCAGACACATGCTCTCATGGCTCGAGGCAGGCAGGAGGGATGGCAGTGCCCAGTGTCCCCACAGGCACCTAGCCCGTCACCACGGCTCCATCCCCAGGGTGGGCACTTGCCAGAGGAACCAGGGCGAGGGACCCTCACCTCGGGGCACCTACCGAGTGGGATGATGACCAGGTTGGGGTGCTTGGAGGCCAAATTCTGTAACTCCTGCAAGAGAGGGGACCAGGTGGGCATGGCGAGGCAGGAGGGGCTGCACAGAAGCTCAGCCTTTCTCAGGTAAAGCCCGTGTTGCTCCGGCTCCATCCCTGCACCGCCTCACACCCAGCACCCTGCTCCGGCTGCCCTGCTCCCATGGGATGGGGCTCTGTGCCTCCTGCACACACCATGTGCCACTGTCCCCTCCGCACATCTCACACATGGCTGGTCCCACAGCCGTCCCAGCCCGGCTGCCCTGTGCCGTGGGTGCCCGGCTGCAGCTTGAGCCCTTTGCAGACCCCCACCCAGCTCCAACTTCTGCCCTGGCACTGAGTGCTCCCGTCTCCCAGCACCACCCACTGCATCCCAGCCCAGCCTCACCTGCGCTCGCTGTCCCTTGGGGTCCCGACAAGCTGCAAAAACCCACCCAGGTGGGTTTAGCATCTCCAGAAAATGCCGGACAAGCCCCAGGCCGATTCCCCGGTTGGCCCCAGTCACCAGAACGGAGCAGACCTGAAGCCCTGCCATGCTGCTCCGTTCGCTGCTGCACTGTCTCACCCTGATTCTGCAGATGCCTTTTCCTACTCAGTTATCTTGCATTTTCCCACGAGGGTTTGCATCAGCCTGCAGCTCTGGGAAATTCTCTGCCTGCACCCCAGTCTGTTGGCTGTGGTCCATACCTTTCTCAGCAGCCAAGGAATGATGCATAGAAGCCGAGTGTCCTGCCCAGGCAAGAAATGCCCTAAGCTGGATGTCTGAAGAGATGCTCTTTGTACCTTCCCTGCTTCACCAAACTTGAGCCACTCGGTTTTCAGGGCCAGTGCTACCCCTGTTCCTGCACCAAGATGCTCCCTCCCACTGCCACCCTCCTTCTTGGGACACCAGGCTCTGTCCCTCCCCTTGCCTGAGGTCAGGCAGGCAAGGGTGAACTCACTGACCCCACACAGTGCAGTTTGTTGGTCTTAATTTGTGCGGCACCAAAGCCCAGGACATGAATGGAGCAGCTGAGACAGGCAGGTGGCCATTGGCCATCACAACAAGATGAAAAACCTAGAAACCCTCCAGGGTCACTTGGAAACACTCCAGAGCAACTCCTTCCCCAGGAGCTCTAACAACAGCTATAGTATTTAAGTTGTAAGTGTGACAGAAGAATAAAATTCAGTTTTTTCCCCTGGGTGTAACTGTGGTGTGGCCGGGAACTGGGGCTGTGCCCAGGCACACACACAGATGGACATCCAATTCCAGCATGGTCCAGGTTCTCCCTGGCTTGTTCCTGCAGTGGCGAGGCACCTAACCAACTGATGGATGGAACTCCCAGCTGCCTTCCAAGAAAAACGTCTGACTGGTAGATAGGACAGTCCTGAAGATCACCCAGGAGCTCCTGTGGTGCCTAAAGTCAATGGAGAAGCACCACCTGTGTGGCTTCATGAGCTGATGAACACCTACAGGAAGGATCTGGCATTGCACGGCCTCCCCACGTGGTTCCTGCTGCAGCACTGTCCAAACTGTGCACAAGACGTAATAGTGGAAGATATATTTAAGGTAGTTAGGAAATGTTTTGTAGGTGATCGTGCAGGACTGGGTGGGTGTAAGCTTGGGGAGTCTCACCTGCTGTTATAAGGACCTTTGAAACTGGACAGTAACCAGCCATCCTGTTCAAGAGATTTGATCTTCCATGAGCACGCTACCTTATGCAGAGTTCCCCATTGTCCTGGTTTGAGCCCAGAGGAGAACTGAGCACCTGCAGTTGCTGGCTCACTCCTTCCCCCTCAGAAATAGGAAGGAGAAAATAAAACAAAAGGCTCCGGAATCAAGATAAGGACAGAGATGAATGATTCATCCATTATGGTCACAGGCAAAAGACAGACTCGTTAGGGGAAGAAAAAAGAAGTATCAATTTAATGTAAACACCAAACCCACTTAGCCGTCAAACAGAGTAGGACAGTGGGAAGTATAATCACATCTTAAACACACCTTCCCCCCACCCTTCCCTTCTTCCTGGATTCAGCTTTGCTCCTGATTTCTATCCCTCCTCACGCTGCTGTGGCAAAGTGGGGCAGGGGGTGGGGGTTGAGGTCAGTTCACCAGCCCTTGTTTCTGCTGGTCCTTCCTCCTCAGGGGGAGGACTCCTCACGCTCGTCTGCTGCTCCAGCATGGGTCCCTCTCACAAGAGATAGTCCTCCAGGAACTTCTCCAATGTGACTCCTTCTCATGGGGTGCAGCTCTTCCCAAACTGCTCCAGAGTGGGTCCCTCCTGCGTGTGCAATCATCCCAGCAATGGGCTGCTCCAGCGTGGGCTTCCTCCACTCGGAGTCCCGGCCGTCTTTGGGCGCAGTCCCCTGCTCCGGCGTGAGGTCCTCCACGGGCTGCAGGTGGGTCTCTGCAGGGGCACGGCCGTCCCTTTCACTGTGGGCTGGGGGGAGCCTCTGCTCTGCGCGCCTCCCTCGCTCCTCCTCCCTTCTGCCACTGACCTTGGCGTTTGCAGAGGTTTCTCCCTCCCAACTCCTCCTCCCAGGTTCGCTGTCTTAAATCCGTTATCGCAGAGGCACTGCTGCTAATTGGCCTGGCCTTGGCCAGAGGTGGGTCCCGCCAGCAGCCAGGGGAGCTTCCAGAAGCTTCTCCCGGGACGACTGCTGTAGCCCCCTCCCCTGCTACCAAACCCCTGCCACACACAGAAACCCAACACACTGATAAATTAGCTTTTTTTGCTTTAAAACCAAACTTTACTGTCTACTCTTCTGCACAGCACTACTCTGTCCTGTGGTGCTCCAGCCCACCAATGCAGCCGCAGCCTCTGGCCTGAAAAGTCCCCGACCAGACCGAGCCACGAGTTACACGGCCCGATTCCAGCCCTGACCTGCGCAAGAGGAGGCGTTTGTGGGACGGCACGTGCCTGAACATTTCCCGCTTTCCTTGCCCGATTTGAGCAGGTAAGTGGCTTTAACGCCTTAAGAGGAGGCGAACTGTGAGTGAGCGCGAGGGGGAAGGCAGCTTCTTCCCATGGGCGAGCACCCGGGGAGAACCTGGGGCTGCTTAGAGCCAAAACTCAAGGCAAGAATACAAAAACAAAGTAGTGTTTTGGTGACGGGTTTGGCATCACGCGTGACCCGCGGGTTGGGAAGCGGTAACAAAGTCGACGCAATGGGGAGAAGCGGGTGTGTGCCCCGGAGGGGCCCGGGGGAGAGCGGGGAGCCT